CCCTGAACTATGGTTTAGTTTAACATTTCAAAATATTATTTCATACTGGACAACCCATGACCTATTAGCCATTCTTTCAGAGACATTCCTTCCCGGATTCCTCAGTGACTTCAACCATCACAGGACTTCCAAAGTCCTGCCTTCCCTGGGGAAGTTGGGAGACCTTCAGAGGTGGGTCTGCATGGAAAGCAGCCCCCACTGAACTGACCAACCCAAAACCTCAGCACAGGAAATGTTGGGGGAGGTGCCATATTATGTCATAAAGTGTTTTATGATCCTGTTTAATGTCATAAGGTGTTTGATAACATTTGCCAAACTTCAACTCCATGGTCTCAGATTTTTGGCACATTTGGCAAGTTAGCCCTTTTGAGGTTATCTTGGTTGAAAAATTGTTGCCCTACGATGCTTTTGCTCTGTTAAGGATAAGAGGAACATGAATGTTAGTCGAATATAGATTTTGTTTTATCTTCAGAGACCCAGAAGAGAAATGTTGAATAGATGGAAACTAAACACAGATAAACAACGCTAATCTGGTTTGCCTGGCTCAAGACGGTTTAGGATCAGTGGTGGCTAACCTTTTTGGGCTCCTGTGCCAAAAATTATGCTCACATGCCAGCACCGAGAAGGCAATGCGCACGGGAGGGCCCACACCCTCTGTGCATGCGCGCGCAATTCCCCCCCGCAGCCCCCTTACCTGCACTGTGCCTCCCAGCTGATTTTTGGCTTCCCAGTGGCTCAAGGGAAGCCTCTGCAACCATTGGAGGCCGAAAAATGGGACTGTTTTGTCACTTCCGGTATTTCCGGAAATACAGGAAGTGATGAAACGGGCCTGTTTTTCAGCTTCCAAAGGCTGCAGAGGCTTCCCTCAAGCCTTTGGGAGGCCGAAAAAGGCCGCAAACTGGCCGAAAATCAGCTGGGAGGCACACGCATGCGCAGTGCAGGTAACTTTGCCTGGGGCTCGCGTGCCTGCACAAATGGCTCTGCATGCCACCTGTGGCACACATGCCATAGGTTCGCCATCACGGATCTAAACTATAGTTAGCATGCATCATGGTTTAGTGCAATGCCTGAACAGGACCTTAAGCCTGGGAAATGAGAGCAATTTTCTAACAGTCTCAAATGGATTCCTGGCCCAAAGAACCAGGTGGTATCAGAACACCTCTTGCACAGACCTGTAATGGCAGTCGGCTCTGACGGTAAGTTTCCATTCTCTGCAAAGGACCCACCATTCCTCCTTCCACTCTCCAAAGGTTTTCTGCAGCATTTTCTGAACAAAATAAGCCCTGCAGAGAGATGACAATGAAAACACAACAATATAGTGTGTGCTCTGGCGCAGTCTCACAAAGGACATCTGGAGCTAATTAAGCATTTGAGAGAACTGCCCACATCCTCTCCTGGACCCTCTAATGCAGGGGTCTCCAACTTTGTCAACTTTAAGACTTGTGGACTTCAACTCCCAGAATTCCTCAGACAGCTTTCCTTTTGCTTTGCTGGCTGAGGAATTCTGGGAGTTGAAGTCCACAAGTCTTAAAAGTTGACACGGTTGGAGACCCCTGCTCTAATCAGCTCATTTGCCCTGTGGAAGCTCTGGGGGGCAGCCCAATTCAGCCAACCCAGGAAGCCCCCTTGGTCATGGCAAAGCCCTCTTCATCCAGATCCCCAGCCCCCCACTACAAGGCAAACGCAATAGCTAACGCGGGTCCGCTTATAGCAGCGGAAGCGTCAGAAATGCATCTTGGGGAAATGTGACCTTGGGGGCTGGCTGGTTGCTCCTCCTTTCTCAGCACCAGAGCCGAGATCGATGGTTGGGACCATATTATGTCATAAAGTGTTTTATCATCATGTTTAATGTCAAAAAGCGTTTTATAAAATTTGCCAAAATGGGGAGTCACTGGACTTAGATTTTTGACACATTCTGCTAGTTAGCCCAGATCAAAGATGGTTTGCCCAGTTCATGCCATTTCACCCAGTTAAAGATTATGGGAATGAAAGTTTGAATAGAATGAACAGAACAGAGCTGGGAGGGACCTTGGAGGTCTTCTAGTCCAGCCCCCTGCTCAAGCAGGAGACCCCTCTACCATTTCAGATAAGTGACTGTCCAGTCTCTTCTTAAAAACTTCCAGTGATGGAACCCCCACAACTTCTGGTGGCCAGCTGTTCCACTGGTTAATTCTCCTCACTGTTAGGAAGTTTCTCCTTAAGTTCCAGGTTGCTTCTCTCTTTGATTAGTTTCTATCCATGGTTTCTTGTCCTGCCCTCCGTGTTTTGGGGAATAATTTGACCCCTCCCCCCTCTTTGTGGCAACCCCTCAAATATTGGAAGATGCTGTCACGTCTCCCCGAGTTTTCCTTTTCTCTTGACCGGCATATAGATAAATCACTCCTGATGATACCATGTTTTTGTAGTCTCACTGCAGAAATGCAAACATATTTGAGCCAAAAGCTTACCTGGCCTTGGATGGCAGGACTCTTCCAAATGTCTTCCTCTTCCACAGGTAAAAAAATTTCCTTGCCAGGTGCCTGGGAAACAAATGGAGACTGCAATGCCTCTGGGCAGGGTTTTCTTCTCCAAACCTTTGCCTCAGTCTGTCCTAAATAAGCTGCAACCATCAGCACTCCATATCAAGCCTATTTTTAAGACGTTCCATTTTCTCTAACAGAGTCATAGGAACTACAAGTGGAGGTAGGAAACGGAGTTTCTGTGAAACCTGGCTGAGAGATGGCTCATTCTTTACCTGTTCAAACCATTCAGAGTTTGGCATTCCATGTCCAGATGCCCAAGGATGCCAAACAAATCTGTTTAGATCACGGAAGCCAATAGCCATCTTTTAAAAAGTCCCACCTATTTATAAAAATGGATTAAATGGAATCAGACCCCCTCTGGGCCCTTAGATTCTAAACCTCCCTGAAATGGCCACAAAAGCTCTCTCCTGTTGCGGCTTTAAGCATCCTTTTGAGAAGATCAGCAAAAAGGAGCAGAGTGTTACTTGATTTAAAAACTCCTTTTGCTTCTTGAGGTGCAGGACAACATAACTGATCCAGTGACCTGGTTCACACACTGCACCGACTAATTTGCTTAGCATCTTCTACGAAGCCACTCACTGTGACTTGTAACACTGCTTTATGGTTGAAAAAACTTAATTTCAACTGTACCTGATTAGACAGAACATGGTTGAACTTGGGCTGGTTTTGACATATACAACTAACTATAGTTAAGCCACTTCCAGTTGAATGCAGCAAGTGAATCCCACCAGGGGTGCATTAAATAAGCTCCTTATATTGCCCCGTCTGGCTTGGCAGCAGCTTGTACAAAAAGATGCTTAAAGGTCTTTTTAAACAACACTTACTTCTTTGTTTTGAAACTCTCACATGCAAAACAGCATTCACCTCTGCTAAAACAATTTGTGGCACTCACTGAGGAATGCTTTCACAAGCAAGAGGTTGGTTTAGATCAGGGGTGTCCAACTTGGTTGACTTTAAGACTTGTGGAGTTCAACTCCTATGGTTGGTTGGGAGTTGAAATCCACAAGACTTAAAGTTAACAAGGTTGCACACCCTTGGTTTAGATTCCATCTAAGTTATATTTTCTCTGAACCTATGTTACTGGGGTGTACCTTTCGATGTATTCCAGTTATTGTGACTTATGATTGAAGCATAAATCACTGAAAGATACTAACCAGGTGGACAAAAAGGAAACACACTTCAAAAGTCCCATTTTAAGATCTCATTCTTGCATACACCTGCCATTTCTAATAGGTCATTCAGAGTAACAGAAAATACTTATAACTCAAATTCCATTCTTACCTAATGCGAAGTTCTTTCAACCTTCCACCTCGGTTCCAAGTATACATCACACGATATAAAATCCGACAACTGCCACTTTGCCCCGAATTTCTGTTGGGGTGACAAGGTATCGGCTGACGGCCCATACATTCTTTATGTGGTTTCTGTGCCTTTTGAAACTTGGAACTTTAAAACAAAAACCATAATTGTTATCATTAGAAATATAGTTTAATACTATTTTATATAGATAAACACCAAATAATTTCAAAAATGAGCCACATCATCAGAGATCCTCCACCTGAAGGCAGGCAGGAAGCAAAATGGATCAAGGAGAGAAGCAACTGAGAACTAAGGAGAAATTTCCTACCAGAACAATTAACCAGTGGAACAACCTGCCTCCAGAAGTTGCGGATCCTCCATCACTGGAAGTTTTTAAGAAGAGATGGGACAAGCTTTTGCCTGAAATGGCATAGGGTTTCCTGCCTAAGCAGAGGGTTGGACTAGAAGACCTCCAAGGTCCCTTCCAACTTTGTTATTTCTTCAAATCTTTTCTGCTACAATAGCTTTATTTTTCTGTTTCTAATGTTGACAGTATTGGCAGGCAAATCAGCTTCTTTAAACCAACCTGCCTGAAATTCAGGCTCCACATAATTTAATGCTAAGATAGACACTGCAGATATTCCTCAACTTATGACTGCAATGGAAGCCTGTCCATCATGGTTACATTTATGACAGTCATAAAACAGGTCAATATTGGCCTATTTTATGACCTCTTTTGCAAATGCTATGATCATTAAAGAAACCTGGTTTACTATGGGTGTGGTTCTGCCAAACATTAGAAGAGCCAGGTTTTGGCAAAACCATCATAAAATACAGTCATATGACCAGAGGATATTGCAAATGAGTTAAATGAGGCCATGTTGCCAAGCACTTGAAGTCTGGCCACATGACCACTGGAAGGTCAGAATTTCCAATTTGGGTCATAACTAGCCCCAAAGTAGGTCTATTATAAATGACTAGTTAAAAGTCAAGGACTAACTGCAAAGCAGATAGCAAGCAACAGTTGGGTTCCCTAAATAAGTTAAACCAAAACCAAGCAAACCACACTGCAGCATAATAAAATATGCAAACCGAGATAATATTTCTAAGTTTCTAAAGCAGGCTGGGCAGCTATGGCCCCCTAATGACCTTGACTAGAATAACAGAGTTGGAAGGGACCTTGGAGGTCTTCTAGTCCAACCCCCTGCCGAGGCAGGAAATCCAACACCACTTCAGACAAATGGTTATCCAACATCTTTTTAAAAACTTCCAATGTTGGAGCATTCACAACTTCCGGAGGCACGTTGTTCCACTGGTTAATTGTCCTGTCAGGAAATTTCTCCTTAGTTCTAAGCTGCTTCTCTCCTTGATTAGCTTCCACCCATTGCTCCTTGTCCTGCCCTCAGGTGTTTTGGAAAATAGCTTGACCCCCTCATCTTTGGGGCAGCCCCTGAGATACTGAAAGACAGCTATCATGTCTCCCCTAGTCCTTCTTTTCATCAAACTAGAGATATCCAATTCTTCTAGCAACCATTCTTCGTATGTTTTAGCCTCCAGTCCCCTAAACATCTTTCTTGCTCTTCTCTGCAATCCTTTTAGAGTCCCAGCATCGATTTTACACCGTGGCGACCAAAACTGAATGCAGTGGACTTCAACTCCCAGAACTCCTGAGCCAGCATGAGTGGAACCAAAGGCTCACCTTAGTCAGTAGAAAAACTATCACACAGATGTAATTCAATGCATTCTCTACAATTCTACAAAAAACACATTCAGATAGTAGAGCAGGAGGGAGCTTGGCAAACAAAATAAGAGAAGTCAAATGTAAAGGCTATTAATCCCTCAACATTTCCTTTGAATGAAATCAGGACAGGCCATCCTTACGTACCACCTGCAATTCCAACTTGCAATTTGGTCACTAAGCCACGAGGTCATTAAAGTGAAACACCACGTTACTGCATCCTACTAATGATTTCGGCCAGCAAATGAATCAGTTTTAAGACTTCCCGCAGGATTCTCCATTGACCAATTGTGGGAAGCCGGCTGTGAAGCGGTGATCCTAAGGCCAGCAGGGGGTGCTGCAGCCCAGCCACTTTAACCCCCCCCCCCCAAATCTCTTGCAATCATCAGAGTGCTTCGTTTTGAACAGTCACAGAATGAGCGGTCGGTAAGCAAGGACCGGCCGGTATGGCTAAACCTTAAGGCAGAGGTCTCCAAACTGGGCAACTTTAAGACTTGTAGACTTCAACTCCCAGAATTCCTCAGCCAGCAAAGCTTGGGAATTCTGGGAGTTGAAGTCCATAAGTCTTAAAGCTGTCAAGTGTGAAGACCCGTGTCTTAAGGTAATGCATGACCCAGGTGTGGTGGACGGCAGCCTTTCTGGCCCTGCTGCTCTTTCTCACCAGCCAGTTTTTATTTGCAAGGCAGAGTCCTTAAAAATGGTACCTTCCCGAGGGCTGACCTCCCCCAAGCAGACATTATTCCCCCCTCCCCCAAAAAGGCGCTTCTGTCCCCGCCACCCAGGTGAGTGCAGCCGGCCCTTCTCACCTGCCCCGGCCCTTCCTCTCCATTGGGCGCCCTTCCCGTCCAGGCGGAGCCCCCGATTTCTGGCAGGGGAAAAAAGGACTTGCGTTAGTCCCGAGTTCGCACATTCAAACGACCTGTTTGGACCCGGCTTGGCGTGTCAGGGGTCTCCAACCTTGGCCGCTTTGAGACTGGTGGACTTCAACTCCCAGAATTCCTCCACCGGCTTTGCTGGCTGAGGAATTCTGGGAGTTGAAGTCCACCAGTCTTAAAGCGGCCAAGGTTGGAGACCCCTGCGAGTCTGGGCATACGCAAAGTGCGCACGGGGGGGGGGTCGCCTCACTCGCCCCCACCCCCGGCAAAGACGTCCGAGGGGCCGCGCCCTCTCGCCCCTCCAGCCCGAGGAAGCTCGGCGGCTAAAGCGGCATACCGCTGTCGGCCGAGCGCCCGAAGCCGGCCCAAGGAACGCGCTGGGCTGTGGGGAAAAAGAAAGGCTGCTCCGAACCGCTGGGCGCCTTCGCGGACGTCTTCGCGCCGGATGAGCGCGGTCCCAACGCGGCCACCGTCCGTTCGCGCGTGGCTCCGCCCTTTCGAAAGGTCCTCAGCAGGCTGCCTTCCGGGCCGCCTGAAGGACCCTTCCTGCGCAGCCCCGACATGGCACCCGCCCGCCGCTCGTGACGTACACCCCCCAAAGCCGACGCACTGGCCAAAGACTGGTTCTCGGGGTGGCGCTCCGCGTTCTGAGCCTACAATCGCGGGAAAGCCACGTTTTTTTTCCCGTCAGGCGCGCGCGGGGGGCAGCTCTCCGAGCAAGGCCGTCGGAAGAAGGGCGCCGTTTGCGCGCGCGCTCGGACGCGCGCGGCGGGAGGCGGAGAGGGAGAGGAAGGGGGCGCGTGCATGGCGCATGCGCCGTACTATAAAGGGGGAGGGGTGGGTAACTGAGGCCCCGGTTACGGCGGCTGAGGAGACACGGAGCGGCAGCCGCGCACGGACGGAGCGGCGGGACAAGCCGAGCGCGGCCCGGCAGGGTCGGACGACGGACTACGGGGCGAGCGCGGCGGCGACAGAAGCAGCGGCGGCGGCGGTGCCTGGGCCTGAGGGGGAGAAGGCCGGCGAACGGAGACGGCCTCCCGGAGCGCGTGAAGCGAGCCCGGCGGCAGCGAGCCCGGTGCTGGGGCTCTTGGCGGCGGGGTCCAGGTGAGGCACCCGCTGAGTCACCTGCCGGCGCGGCTGTACGTCTTCCGGGGCGGCCTAGGCCTCGCTTCCCTCCTTCCCCGCTCGGCAGCGCCGGAAAACCCCTCCCGCCGTGCGGGCCGTGGCCCCGCCGCCTCGCCTCGCCTGCTGCCCCGCGCGGTTCTCCGGCGCGCGGCGATAACTTCACAACGCCCCTGCCAGGTAGGCCGGCCGCCGCGTTGAGCCTTGCCGGGCGGACTGTCAGGCCGGGCGCCTCCATGGCTGCCTCCGCGGCGGCTCCTCTTGCCCCCGGCGGAAGAAGAAGCGGCTTCATTCGGGGCCCTCCCCGTCCCCCGCGCAGGAGCTTCGGCCTCGGCTCTGCCGGGGGTCCCATGCAAGTTCCGGCCCGGTGCCTTGCCTGGCCCTGCGCGGAACGGCTGCGGGTGGCGGGCCGGGCGGCTCAGCCCTCTGGAAGCCCCCCTGGGACGGGTTGGGGGGCCGTGTGGGGCCCTGGCCGGCAGCGCTCGCCTGGAAAGAAGCCCCCAAGGGAGGCTGAGTGGGAGGCTGCCCGCCTGAGCAGCCGAAACTTCCCCGAGTTTTCAGCCAGGGTTTCATTCTCCCGCTGCCGCCAAACGCCCAGCCCGGCCTTGCTAGGCAGGTGGGTAATTTGCAGCCTTAACTTTAAGGTCTTTCGGAGCGGAATCCCCAGTCCAAGCGAGAAAAGGCCGCTGGGCTCGAATCCTCGGGCTGAAGTTCGCTTTAAGGGGCTGCATTTGGGGGCGCACACGAATCCAGTTGGACTCCCCAGCAGCCTGGCTTGGCAACTGGATAGAGGCGAATTAGTGCAGGGGTCTCCAACCTTGGCCATGGTATCGGGAATGATCAGAGGGGCAAACCTCTCCGGGAGCGAAAATTCGCTAAGAGAAGGAGGTCACACTAATGGAGTCCTCGCCGCTTTTGGCAGCGTGTTAGTGGACCACCGGATGCCTCATGCAAAAGGCATCTGAGCAACCTTAGCTATGTTGGTTTGATTTGGAGTGCGTGAAAACTTTAAGAAGGATTTGGGGAAGTCTCATTCTGGCTGCTCTCCTCTGCAGGCGGGCAGAGGGGCTGGGCCTGTCTTGCAGAGATTGCAGAAGAAGAAGAGGCTGAGGAAAGACTGGGGTGCAGGAGGGTTGAGCCAAGAGCAGGAGGCTGCAAATTAAAGGAGACCAGTAGCAGGTTTGACTAGTAGCAGGAATTTTCTGACCATAAGAGTGAAATCATCTGCAGAGGCTCAACTGGGGAAGTGGGTGGCCACCCAGAGAGGTGGGACTAAAGAGGCTTTCAACTTGCACCCTCTGTGATGATACTTGAAGTGAAACCTTGTTGCACGGTTTTGTCAGGCAAAGCTGCAAGAGGTGAGGTCGGATTTTGTATCTGTTCTTTTCCTTCCTCATAGTTCAACTATGGATAAACGAGTTGGATTGGCTGAAGCTGTGAATGGAGATGCATTGCTTAACATGAACATAATCAGTACAATGAAGTTTCCTCATCGATACACAAAAGTAAGCGGCTCGAACTTTTCTTTAAAATACTGAGCTTTAAAGGGTTGCTTAATGGACATCCAAATGTCTCACCCCATCTATAGAACAAGACTATTTCTGCAAGTATAGAATTAAATTTGGAGATGGCTTTTCTTGTTTGGAACTTGATTTTCATATCCATTTCCTATAATAAGGCATTAATGAAATGCCATTTAAACTGATGCCCTGTAAATTTCAGTTGGTCATCACAGTAGTGTAAGATGTAAAGATATGAACTGGCTTATAGTTGGAAAGTACTCTTGTAATTATTTTACTAAATGTTTTGAATAGTGAACAAAGCCAACTATTTTACAACAGTGATTATCAATGTAAATTATGCTACTTTTCTTATTTCCATATGTTTAGAGTAAATGTATAATTGTTCAGATATATAGATATGTGTAATACAGTAATACAAAATTACACAACAAATTGTGACATGGAACTATGTGCAATGCTGGCTAATCTCTAAAAGTACTATTTACACTATTGACAATGCCACAGATCTGGATACTTTTTGATTCTTTTAACCAGCATTTTTGGGAATTGAAATTATACTGCTCAAAAAAAAATAAAGAACACAAAAATAAGACATCCTAGATCTGAATGAATGAAATATTCTTATTAAATACTTTGTTCATTACATAGTTGAATGTCCTGACAACAAAATCACACAAAAATTATCAATGGAAATCAAATTTAGCAACCCATGGAGGTCTGGATTTGGAGTTACACTCAAAATTAAAGTGGAAAAAAACACTACAGGCTGATCCAACTTTGATGTAATGTCCTTAAAACAAGTCAAAAGGAGGCTCAGTAGTGTGTGTGGCCTCCATGTGCCTGTATGACCTCCCTACAATGCCTGGGCATGCTCCTGATGAGGTGGCGGATGGTCTCCTGAGGGATCTCCTCCCACACCTGGACTAAAGCATTCCCCAACTCCTGGATAGTCTGTGGTGCAACGTGGCATTGGTGGATGAAGCAAGACATGATGTCCCAGATGTGCTCAATTGGATTCAGGTCTGGTAAACGGGCGGGCCAGACCATAGCATCAATGCCTTCGTCTTGCAGGAACTGCTGACACACTCCAGCCACATGATGTCTAGCATTGTCTTGCATTAGGAGGAACCCAGGGCCAACCGCACCAGCATATGGTCTCACAAGGGGTCTGAGGATCTCATCTCGGAACCTAATGGCAGTCAGGCTACCTCTGGCGTGCACATGGAGGGCTGTGCGGCCCTCTAAAGAAATGCCACCCCACACCATTACTGACCCACTGCCAAACCGGTCATGCTGGAGGATGTTGCAGGCAGCAGAACGTTCTCCACGGCGTCTCCAGACCCTGTCACATCTGTCACATGTGCTCAGTGTGAACCTGTGAAGAGCATAGGGCACCAGTGGCGAATTTGCCAATCTTGGTGTTCTCTGGCAAATGCCAAACGTCCTACATGGTGTTGGGCTGTAAGCACAACCCCCACCTGTGGACGTCGGGCCCTCATACCACCCTCATGGAGTCTGTTTTTGACCGTTTGAGCAGCCACATGCACATTTTCCACTGTCCCTCCTTGCACAAAGGCAGAGGTAGCGGTCCAGATGCTGGGTTGTTGCCCTCCTACGACCTCCTCCACATCTCCTGATGTACTGGCCTGTCTCCTGGTAGCGCCTCCATGCTCTGGACACTATGCTGACAGACACAGCAAACCTTCTTGCCACAGCTCGCACTGATGTGCCATCCTTGATGAGCTGCACTACCTGAGCCACTTGTGTGGGTTGTAGACTCCGTCTCATGCTACCACTAGAGTGAAAGCAC